TTTTCTCAAATCATGTGTTTCTCACTTTTCATGAAAGGGAATCAGTCCATGAAGACTTTGAAATAGTTCAAGCAACAGACCAAAGGGAAGTTTAATTTAATAGGAGCAATTCATTGCCTTAATATTTTTTACCAAGAAGATGAAAACAGGGTGACTTATTTATGGATTTATTTACACGGTGGAGGTTATTGCTTGCACAGAGGATGGAGCTTTTGAAACCTTCTGGTGATTTGAAAAACATGGGACGTGTCTTTGAGTTAATAGTTGATTAGGGCAGTAAATTGTATTTTAGGAAACAAGAGACTGAAATATGTTGTATTTTATACGGAGAGATCTAAGATTATAAAAGAATCCTAATAAGAATGCCGGTGGTACAGTTTATTTCCACTGTAATGTGGAGGGCACATTTCCCCAGCAGAAGTGAGATGGGGCTACCTATCTCCCAGTCCACCCTTCTTGAGAAAAGGCCTATCATTGTTGTGAATGGAAAGCCTACAAGGTATTCCCAAACAGGAAATATTCCATTATAGAGAGATGTGTCCACAGTTAAATCAAACAAACATAAAAAGGTGCTAAAATACAGCAACAAGAAAGTATTATTTTGCTTACTTTTGCCATTATGAATTTTTGAGGAAGCATACCTACCATTCGTTGAACATCTGCCACATGCCAAGCGCTGTGCTAGGTACTTTAGTTATTATCTTAATCCTCAAAATAACCTTATAAGGTGGATATTAATAATCCCATTTTACAGAGGAGGATTAAGGCTCAAAGATCAAATAAATGATAGAAATCATCGAAGATCACTCTATGTGTATAGAGAGCTATACCAAAGCTCAGCTCTGGTTTCAAAACCCTTTCTGTTACACCAAAAGAACCTGTTGGGTGTACCAAAGGAATTCTGTTCCATTTCTTTTCTGTTGCACCAAGAGTCTGCTGACGCTTTTGTTGTTCTGAGATTTTGATTTTGAAAACAGTCAAAATGTCTGAAGAAAAAAGAAATATATATATGTATGTGTATATATATATATATCTTCATATTTTCCCACTATTTGCCATTTCTGGGACTCTTCATTTCTTTCTGTATTTCTGAATTACTATCTCTTGTAATTTTCCTTTAGACTGAAGATCTTCCTTTAATATTTCTTATGAGGCAGGTATGCTAGCAATAACTTCTCTCAGTTTTTGTTTAACTGGAAATGGCTTTAATTTCACCTTCTCTTTTGAAAGATAGTTTCACTGGAGATAGAATACCAGGTTGACAGTCCCCCTCCCCAACCCCTTTCCACACTGGGTCTTGTTCTTCTCTTCCTCCTCCTCCTTTTTTTTTTTTTAAAGACTTAATTTTTTTTTTAGAGTAGCTTTAAGATCACAACAAATCTGAGGGGTGCCTGGGTGGTGCAGCTGGCTAAGCATCTAACTCTTGGTTTCTGCTTAGGTCATGATGTCAGGGTCATGAGATCGAACACTGTACTGGGCTCTGTGCTCAGCATGGAATCTGCTTGAGATTTTCTCTCCCTCTCCTGTCCCTTCCACTTGTGCTCTATCTCTCCCAAATAAGTAAATAAATCTTAAAAAAAGAATTATAGCAAATTTGAGAGGAAGGGACAGAGATATCCTGTATACCACCTTCTCCTACACATTCATAGCTTCCCCATTAACATCATCCACCAGAATGGTACATTTCTTACAACTGATGAACCTACATTGACACATTATTACCTAGAGTTCATAGTTTACCTTGGGGTTCACTTTTGGTGATGTACATCCTATGAGTTTGGGTAAACGTATAATGACATGTATCCACCATTATAGTATCATAGAGTATTTTTAATGCCCGAAAAATCCTCTGTGCTCCACCTGTTTACCCCTTCCCTCAACACCTGGCAGCTACTGATCTTGTTACTGTCTCCATAGTTTTGCCCTTTTCCAGAATGTCATGTAGTTGGAATCATACAATATGTAGACTTTTCAGATTGGCTTCTTTCGCTTAGTAATATGTGTGTCTTTTCATGGATTGATAGCTCATTTCTTTTTAGCACTGAATAATATTCTATTGTCTGGCTATATCCAAGGCACCTACTGCAGAACACTGTGGTCTCCTTTTGATGGGAAGTCAGATCTCATTCTTTTTGTTATTCTTTTGTATGTAATGCTTTTTTTTTTCTCACTCTGCTTTCAAAGTTTTCTCTTTATCTTTGGTTTTCAACAGTGCTACCTTGTGGCCTCAGAGATTATATAGAAATGCTCCAAGACTGGAAAGAGAAACAGGTGTCCCCAGGTGGGCAGTTTTAAGAGTAGGCATTTCCTTAAGAGGCAGCCGTATGAGGAAAAGCATGGAGGAGGAAACTACCTGGGTCCAGTAAGCAGCAAGGTGCAGAGGAGAGTGCATTGAGGGTGAAGGCTGGAGAGGAAGGCATAAACCAGCACAGGCTCTAGACAGCATGCTTATAATTTCGGACTGCACAGTGTAACCAGTGGGGGACCACTCATGGGCTTGAAGGAGAGGAGTAGTAGAATCAGATATGTTTTTTAAAGAGATCCCTCCAGCAGCAATGTGGTAGATTCATGTGGGAAGTCATTCTCGAGGAAGGAATGTGTTGCAATCATACTCAGTAGCGGTGCAAACGGTGAAAGAGTGACTAGTTCTAGGAATATGAGGACACTAAGCATTAGTCACTGAATGGCTATGGGGGGTGAGGAAGGTACTTTAGTTATTATCTTAATTATCTTAATTGGAGGTGAGGAAGAGGAAAATGACCCGGATGACTCCTGGCTTCCTAACTCCAAACTTGGAAGAAGCTGTCCAAAGGGGCAGAGGTGGGTGAGGGATGATGAGTTTGGGGAAATGAGCTTTTCCCACGGGACATTCTAGTGGCGATGTCCAGTACGTAGTGAGCTATATGACTCTAGAGCTCAGTGGAGAAATCCTAGATGGAAATTTAGTTTTGAAGCTTGCACAAGGTGGAAATTGAAGGCAAGGGAGTGGACGAGATTGCGAAGAGACAGTGTGCAGAGGGTGAAAAGCAATGCATTAAGGTCACGAAACACCAATTAGTCTAAATGTAAGTCATATTTGGGGTAACAGGAATCTGCTTAACCGACTGAGCCACCCAGGCGCCCCCTGCCTCTCTCCCTTTTAAGGATGCTTGTGGTTACACTGGGCTCACCTGGTTAATCCAGGATAATCTCATCTCAAGATTTTTAACTGCATCTGCAAAATCCCCTTTGCTTTGTAAGGTAACATGTTAATAAGGTTCCAGGAAATGGAACACAGATATCTTTGAAGGGAGAATTACTATGCCTATTACAGGTGGATAATAACAGCTACTCACTGTTCTTATGAAGGTTCAGTGATGTAATCATATAAGGCACTTGGCACATAGGAGGTCCCATGTGCTTTCATTCAATACGTTTTATTACAGGCGATAAGACAGACACTAAGCAAAGAGCTTGCCCTTCAAGAAGCTCACATTCTTGATGCATGTGTCAGAAAATAAATAAGTAGAAAATATAGGAATAAGGTAAGTGGTAAGAAGGTCTATGGGGAAAAGGCTGGGGCAGGGTGCTTTTATAAAGGGTGGTCAAGAAGGGCCTCACTGATAAACGTGAGCACAGACCCAAGCAAGTGAAAGAGTGAGGGTCGAAGGTACCTGTAGGCTTGGAGTGTTCAAAGAATGAGGTGGGTGTGGAGTGGAGGGAAGCAAGCCAGTGGGTGTGCAGGCCTTAGAGGGTAGTTTGGCTTTTTTTTTTTTTTTTTAAGATTTTATTTATTTATTTGAGAGAGAGAGAGAGAGCACGCGTGAGCAAGCATGAGCAGGGGGGTGGGGCGGAGGGAGAGGGAGAAGCAGACTCCCCACCGAGGAGGGAGCCTGATGCGAGACTCAATCCCAGGACCCTGGGATCATGACCTGAGCTGAAGGCAGACCCTTAACCAACTGAGCCTGGTAGTTTGACTTTTACACTGGAATGGGAAGCCATGAGGAAGCCACCTCTTCTGAGGAAGGAGTGACAGGAATTAAAGTATGATTGTAAAAAGATATACATAGTTAACGTATACCATTTGATAAGCTCCGGGATAAGTACATACTCATAAAACCGTCACCGCTACCAAAGCCATAAACATATCCATCACCCCTCAAAGTTTCCTCCTGTCCCCTTTATTATTCTTTGTGTGTGGTAAGAACAATTAACAGAAGATCTACTCTCTGAGCAAAATTTAAGTGTATAATAACAGTATTGTTAGCTATGGGTGTTGTAGCTTATTTTATTTTAACCATTCTGCCGGGTGGAGGATATAGAGGACAGAGGGGGAAGCAAGGAGAACCTTTAGGAGACTATTATAATCATCTAAGGTGAGAAATAATAGTGGCTTGGATCACTAGGATAGCAGTGGGGGTGCTAAGAAATGATTAGAGTGGGTACATTTTAAAGAATCACCAACAGGATTTACTGATGGGGTGGGATGTGAAATGTGACAGAAGAGGCAAGAGGCACCGCACCCCAAGGTATTCTGAAAAAATGAAATTGGCGTGTGCTCAGGCAGGGGTGTGCGTGGAGGAGTAGATTGGGAGGGAAACTTGGGAGACTGTTTTGGTCACGTTGAGCTTGCTAAGCCTATCAGGTCTCCACAGGGAGATCTGGCAGCTTGCGTCGGAGTCCAGAAGGGAGATGTGGCGGGAGACACGAGATACAGCGAGGGGGGAGCCTTGAGAGGTATTCATTCACCACAGGGGGCTCCAATTAGGGATGAAGAGCGTGCATCGAACCCAGCAAAGCACACGGAGAAGGAGCCCTCAGCGAGGAGAGAGGAGGAAGAAAGTGAGGTTCTGGAAGCTGAGTGAAGAAAGGGTCAAGGAAAGAGGGATGGGGTCAGATACTGATAAATATTATCACAACTCACCACACTGTATCCTACCCGTTTAGGGGAAGCCTTCTCTTTCTAGAAATGTCTGAAATTAGTTTGAGGAATCTAACGGCACCTGTGTTACCCACCGAAGTTCTGCTGCAGGGCGCAGGGCGGCGGGCCGTTGGCCAGGGCGCCGGAAGGAAGGCCCGGAGAGGAACCGGAAGTGCAGCCTCGCAGACAGTTTTGTCGCTGGCCCTGTAAATGCCCTCGTCAGAAGCCCAGCTGTCCTCCTGGAGTGAGCTTGCTGAGGGACGGCTGCGGGTGCTGTAAGATCTGTGCCAAACAGCCGGGGGACATCTGCAATGAAGCCGACCTCTGTGACCCCCACAAGGGGCTGTACTGTGACTACTCGGCCGACAGGCCTCGGTTCGAGACCGGAGTGTGCGCGCGTAAGTGTCTCCTGCTGGGACCGCGGGGGATGCTCGAGTCTGGGCGCCGGTTCTCCCCCTGTCGTTGTCCCTGTGGAATGATCAGCGGAGTTAGGCCACATGTGAGGTGGGTTTCGTTTTCACACACCGGCGGGACCGGCTTTGTCGCAGTGGACAGCATGGGACACTGGCAGATGTTTACACGTGGTCAGAACCCCCTGTTATTGATAGTGCATTGAAGCGATCTTGTAGTCGTTCTTAGGTGATTGCTTTTAGGGAGAAAAATAGCGAAGATTATGTAAATCGAGTCTGACTTCTTCCAGCGCCACACAGTGACAGCTTTTGATACTGCGGTCGAACGCAGTCTGAAGTCAGCCTTCTCTGTGACTAAAGACGAATCTCGCTTCAGATGTAAGGATGTGTATATGGTATGCAGACATCCTGCTTCCACCTCAGCCTTTCCAGATAACCAGCAAGTCACTGTGCTTTTTAGCTGAAGCAGATGTGTAAAAAAGAAGTTTGTGTGTGGGGGGGAGGGGATACCCCAAATCACAGCCTGACCCTCACTTTGAGGGGTTTTTAGCTCTGGAGACACTTTGAGACCCTCTAAATCTACACCTCGACGCCAATTCAGGATCCTGCTTTACCTGGGATTAAAATGAGAATTTCCAAGGGAAGAGAAATACGCATGTCAGCTGGACATTTTAGTCAGTCTGTAGGAAAGACTGCGTGGGCAGGCCAATTACTCCCGGAAGTGTGGGTGTGAGCGTGGACCGAATGTGTAGAGCTGTTCAGGCGTGATAGCCTGATACCCTGTTTAGTGCTGACTAAACTATATTGATTAAGAACGTAGGCGCTGGGTTCCAATTCTGGGCTTCATATGCTGAGTGACCTTAGGTCAAGTTGCTTAACCTCTCTGTGCCTCAGCTACGTATTATATGCTTCCTACCTTACAGAAATGCCAGGAGGAGCAAATGAAATAAGGATACAAAACCCCACTTAGCAGAATATCTGGTCGGCAGTAGACTCCTAAAAATGTTAGCTATTATTTATGAAAATTTAACAGGGAAAACATGTCCTATCAGACTGTGGCATGGCAATACCTCTTTCTCCCAAACGGTGCTGGGCACGTTATTTCATTAACCTAACAAGCACGTAGTGAGCAGCCACTACCACGCCAGGCACTGGGACCAGCAGCTGGGGAGAAAACAAAGAAAAAAAATATATATATAGGCCCTGCCCTCACAGAGTCAAAGTTTATTGTGTCAGATCTTTCCACATGTGACCTCACATACAATGTGGTGAGTATTTTAACAGAGTGTAGCCATGAGAATGGGGGTGGAGATGACCTCTAACTGGGGTCACAAACTGTGGTCCAGGGGCCATAGTTGGGCCCAGAGCCTGTTCTGGAAATAACATTTTGTTGGAGCACTGCCACACCATCCAGTTACATGGTCTATGGCTGCTTTGTGGTCCAGAGCCCAGTAGCTGTGACGAAACCCCAGTGGTCTATAAATGCTAAGATATTTACTGTTTGGCTCTTTACAGAACATTTTCTGACCTGTGATATAGAACAATGATTTTTAAACTTTGGTCTGAGGACCCCTTTAGTCTTAGAAATTAATGAAGACCCCAAGAGCTTTTGTTTATGTGGGTTTTCTCTATTGGTATTTAAGTGGATTAGAAATTTAAAAATACTAATTCATTTAAAAACAGGAAACTCATTGCAGCTTGGTGGGAATAGATTTATGAAAAAATATTTTATTTTCTAAAACAAAGGAAAATTAGAAGAATGGAATAGGTTTATATTTTTGTACCTCTCTCTAATGTCCAGCTTAACAGAAGATAGATTTCCCCATCTGCTTCTGCTTTCAGTCTATTCCTGTATGTTATTTTGGTTGAAATCTATGAAGGGAATCCAGCCTGGCACAAATAGGTCATTGGAAAAGGCAGGAATATTTTATCAGAATTTTCAGATAATTGCAAATATTCTTTTTGATATTAAAACTTGAGAAGTGGTAATTTCTTGAAAATCAGCTGCATGATGGAATCTGCAACTGTATCAATGAACTTGTCAAACTCTGTGACAATAAAATGGTCTATCCAAGACCTACTTGGAATGGGTCTTTTACTCATACATAATTTTGTAATACCTTGCACTGGTTATTTGGAAAATGCTAGTTTGGAACAATGGTTATGTAGATGTTCCAAATATTGATATACTTAATTATATATTTTTAAAAATCACATTAATTAATACTAATCTCATCAGAAAAGTCTGCATATTGGGTAGCTATAAAGAGCTCGGTGGTGGATACAGGTTTTCCAAAATTATAATTCTTACTTGAAAGCCTGAATTCTGTCATTGGCCAGAAAGTTGTTTTCCTTGAAGTGACAGGCTCACTGTTGATTTTCAAGGAAACGTCTGCCAAATGCCTGAGTAATCATGGCTTCTCTGTCAGTCATTTCTTTAGGTGAAATTCCTCCTAAAAAAGTGGCTGGTTCAGCCCAAAACTCAAACAATAGAATAGGTGCTTCTCCTCAAGATGATAGAATATCTATAGAAATGCTCTATGAATACTTCCTATTTTGTCACACAGGATATTAAAAAGACATATATTTGATGGTTAAGATCTGATAAAGTTAGTAATTCTTACTGTGCTCTCAGGACATTATTAAGTAAAACTAGCTTTTTTTCCCCCAAGAGTACATTTATGGACAAGTGCAGTGGCAAGGCAGAAATATAGTGACTGCCCTGTATGGTCTGCTTCATGCTAAGGTTCCAGCAGCGGCTCTAGCCGCCATTGCTTTTGTACCTTCAGTGCAAATATCAACATAGTGAAAACAGCCAGCCACCTCTTAGTATTCTGAAAAAGAGTTGTGACCTTGCAGATGCTCTTGAAAGGGCCTCAGTATTGCCAGGAGACCCAAGGGGTCACACTTTTAAAACCTGTTGATCCAGGTCAAGAATGCCTCTCAGAGGAGTGAAAATTTCCTCCAATTCTCTTAATGGAAGAAAAAAATTAGTTACCGTGCAGCACTGTAATTAAACCAGTTATGATTTCTTCAGCCATCCTGGTAGCCTCATTTCCTATGAATATATCCCTGCCTGTTGTTGGACATCTGGGGAAACCTCTTACCTGCCACCAACCCATCTCTCAGACTTAGAATCATTATCTCACTGCTATCCTCACAGTGATAGAACAGGGCCTGTATTTGGTCTTAATTCTGAAAGTGACCAATTGGGGCCAATAGCCTACAATAAAATGAAAATGTCTAATTTTCACCTTTTATAGATGGTCTGAAAAGGTGGTTCCAGATGGGGCCTAAGAAGTTGAGAACGCTACCTCATGAAGGAGATAGCTATTACCTCTGTGGTTTATCATGGGAGGTCTGGACTATCAGTTATGGCTTCTTTGGTGATTTTGCTCTTCTCTCTTTTCAGACCTTAGAGCTGTGGGATGCGAGTTCAACAGGGTACATTATCATAATGGCCAAGTCTTTCAGCCCAACCCCCTGTTTAGCTGCCTCTGTGTGAGTGGGGCCATTGGATGCACACCTCTGTTCATACCAAAGCTGGCTGACAGTCACTGCTCTGGGGCTAAAGGTAGAAAGAAGTCTGATCAATCCAACTGTGGCCTGGGACCATTCCAACAGCAGCTTTCAGCAACCTACAAAACAATGCCAGGTGCTTAGAGGCATATTTAATTTTCATGTATGGCTTCTCGTGATTTTCTTTCATGTTCCTTTGATGTATCACAGGTACTCAGTAAGCACTTATTGATTAGTGGTCAGTGTGGGATTTAGTTTGGCTGCCTCAGGGAGGTATATTCTAAGTATCTCAAAAGGAAACTTTGTAATGTTTTAGATTTTTCCAGTAAAACATTCCAGGGTTTAAAAGCTCTGCTGGGTCAGAAAAACTCTTCTATGCCTCTGCTCATTCCCACTCAACCTCTTCTCAGGAAAGTTGACCAACTATTTATTATTCATGTGCACCCTGGGAAAAACTTTTATTTGTTTTGTTATATTATGGGCAAGAAGTGCGAACGATCCAGTCCCCAAAATTTTCAAAGGCAGCTTTGCTATATGATGGAAGCCTACTGATTAAAAATATTTAAGAATATGTTTAGAATTTGTAAGTATTGTTTCTAAAAACAGAAAACTGCTGACATAAGATTATCCTCTGGGAATGAAGCTCTCCAGTCACCAACCGCTCTCTAAATCAACACACGTACAGGTGTTTTAAAGTAGGTTCCCCAGGTATGAGAGTAGTCAGAAACCTATAATGAGACTAATCACTCATCTTGAGCACTGGCCATTTGCGGTGAGTGTCCATATATGCATAAAGGCTGTACTCTGGTCAGCTCTAAGTTAATATCTTATTTAAGTGCCAGGGCATTTTGGGGACAGGAGTTTCAAAAACACCAACCAATGAAGCACAGATGAGGAAGACTCAGAAGGGTCAGTATTCATGCCTGGTTATTATTCACACCTCTGTGTTTTCAACCAGAAATCAAGAATGCCTTTTTAACGAAATTTAGAGCTTAGGAAATGAAAGGTGCCATGGAGATACAGAAGGGATATTCATCTACACTAAAAGCTCCCAAGTTTGTGTCTAATATGTGGATGTTTAATAAAAGCACTTATCATCAGAGAAATGAGTTTTAGATATCTAAAAACTAACTATGAAAGGAACATTCTCAGAGACTTCCATTAAGCCAATTAATTTGAAAATAATTTAACAGGGTGTGGTGAATTTGCATTTACCATACTTAGTTTCTCAGCTAATAGCAAGACACTACTAATGCTCTAAAACCTCTAAAATTATAAGCCCAACTGTTCTTTTTTCCCCAAAATGTACAGGAACAGTTGATTTTCTGCATTGGATCTGAGGGACTCAGTGTGAATTCTTGGGACCCATGCATGAACCTCACCTTAGCCCAACAGTTTCCACAAGTAAAGCCCTTTGGATCAAGTTCAGTCAGTCTCCTTTGTGGAGGTAGAGCAGTTCCAGATGATTCACTTGGAACCTGGTTGGAGGGGGTGTTAGATGGTCATTCTTAGTGGTTAATGCTTTGCTACAAAAAACGAGAACATCTGCCACTGTGCTCTTGGTAGTTGAGATCACAGGCCTAGATAGGTTAACTGTATGTACAGTCTAAAGTCTCTCCTCTGCTTAACTTTGAAGCTGTGTTTATGGGCCCAAACAGAAGTTGGTTTTTAAAATTAAGCACAGTGACAAGCACATACTTTAAGGTATATTTGTGGTAGTAATTTATATACTTAATTCCAGACAGCCTATGGTTGGAATCTAGCCTTTGTTTGCTCCATATGAAGCATGCAGTGACATAATGCCCCTATGCTTTCCTCACTGCTCACCAAATACTAAATAAACTCTTTAAAAATTCTTCTAGTTTTCTTGCTTTTTAATGAATGTTAAATTCCTGAACTGCAGCTCTTTGCTTAACTTTAAGGGGGTTATTGGTAATATGATAATCTAACCTTCCTTTATTTATTGCAGATGCGTGCCGTGCTTTTAATCTGCTTCCTGCATTGAGGTCTTTAAACTGTTGTCTACCTTCCAGGTATCTTCATGTTTCTGCTTCCTCTCCCTCAGTTCCTTGTGCAATTGCAAGATCCTACTGTAATAACACTGAAAGCAGTAAAGTATCATTTTATTCAAAGACAGCAGATACTTCAAAGTGACTTATATTTCCTATTAAGAAGGCAGTTTTTGTGGGGGGGGGGGGAGTATCTTTTCAGAGTTTTAAATTGGCATTTTGAAGTAATGTAGCCAGAATTTTGCTATGTTCAACTGCAGACTCAAATCACAACCTTATTCCAAGCATCCATTTTAGGATGCATATTAACCTTAAGGAAATGCTTTGAGAAAATAAACCAATATGTAGTTTGTTTAAAACAAAGCAATGGCCTGATTCATTCATGAGCAGAACAAGAAGTTCCCAATGGATTTATAAGACGGAAGAATTATTATGCACTCATTGTATTCTCATTATTCATCCCCTTCTCCTCCCTTCTGCTAAGCAGGAATCAGTGGAGGGGGCTTCATCTATCCACCAACTTACCCAGCCACCCAGAGATCGATCCATCTTTTCCTTTGCCATGTCTTTTTCTAGAACTGATTTGAAATGGCTAGCCAATGGAATGAATACAATGGGCCTGATACAATAGTGAATGTAGCAATTAAGCTGAATGAATAAAATAGATTACACATTTGCCATGACTTAGTATATGATTATTTTGATTAGTTCAATGTAATGTATAGAATTTTCTAAAAGACTAGATTAAAATAAGTGGAGGAAAAATAACTGGCCTAAATAGTTTATTCTCAAATATAACTTTTGTATTTTAGATTTTAACATAATATGAAATTTAACATTAAGACATTGTTCTGATTAATACCTTGAACTCCTTAATCCTACTAACGTCTGTTTCATTGTTAAAAAGAATATCCAGCACGAGGCAAGAACCAGAGAAAACACAGTAGTTTACTCCTTAGATGAGCTAAGCAGAAGCATATGGATGCATCCACTCAGATTTTCAAAGATATTTTTATTCTTCCTAAGATTGGACTGTCACATTTGATTGAAAGGTAATTTGGAAAGCGGGAAAAAGAGAATGATGAATTAGACCATAAGCTTGTTTTATGCTGAGTTATATAAAAGGTTCTGATCTATTAAATATTAGCTGAAAAATAATGATTAAAAGTGGTCTATCGACATGAGTACATACATGTATACCCGTGTACTTTCCCCCCTTTATTTTAGCTTATAGGAATCTCCCACTTGTTTGGAAAAGAAAATGTCTTGTGCAAGCAACAAAGTGGACACCTTGCTCCAGAACATGTGGGATGGGAATATCTGATCGGGTCACCAATGAAAATAGCAACTGTGAAATGAGAAAAGAGAGAAGACTGTGTTACATTCAACCTTGTGACAGTAATATATCAAAGAGAGTAAAGGTAACATTTAATTAGATTTAACTTCGTTATAATTCAATATTAAGAGACTCCTGAAAAGTGCCCGTGTGTTTTAGAGGGATAGATGATGGTATGTGATTCTTATAAAAATAAAATCACCTCATTGTAACTCAAACTATCTCAGAGGAAAACAAAGATTAATCTAACTGCACTTCATGGGGAAAATCTTACCAAGCGGAGAGGTAATGTTACCCTGCTAATTCTAGATACTCTAACAACTTAACAGTGTGGGTCTTGATCAGCCTGATTTCTTCTGGTACACCCAACATACATGTTTTTTAAAAATAGATCCTTTTCAGATTATTTAAAAAAATATATTAATTTTATGTAGTGGAATCAAGGCAATGGATAAAAGATTTTGGTTGCTACATAATTATAAAAACAGACATTATGAACCTCAGAGAAATTCTGATCTTGGTTATCAAGTTGGAGGGGGAAACCAAGTCCAGAACGTTCTGTGCTTAGATAGTAAACTTGCCAAAGGACTGTGACAAAATATTTACTCTAGACTTGTTTGGTATAACTAGAGCTGGTCCTGCTTCTAGGACAAGGCATGATAACGGTCCCAAGAGTAAGTTTTAGGAATGCTAAAAGTCTTCTCATCTCCAAGTTATTCCCTATCATATTAAGTTGACAACTCAATTTTAAAGGGATTAAGATATGTATTCATTTATTTATCCACTCAAAACTGTCTGAGCTGTGTTAGGGAATTTGCTAAGTCTTAGGTAAATAAACATTTAGTAAGACATGGCCCTTGATATTAAAAAAGACAGAAATTTTCATTGTGGAAACCGTGGAACTAAGTGAAGAGTAGATAACAGAAAAGACTGGGGAGCGGGTCCTCTACTAGGACGGAACAAGAACAGGGAGGACAGACCTCTGGAGAGGGGATTTCGAAGGTAGAAAAGAGAGTGCTGAAAGTCACTAAATGAGAAATATTAATGCCCCGGAAATAATTTATCTGTTTGTATTTCTATATAGAGTATCACTTTTCTAAACTGTTGTAACCAAATTAAAGAATGACTTCTTAATGTTATGTACCTTTTCAGATCCCCAAAGGAAAAACATGCCAACCTACTTTCCAACTCCTCAAAGCTGAAAAATTTGTCTTTTCTGGATGCTCAAGCACTCAGAGTTATAAACCCACTTTCTGTGGAGTATGCTTGGATAAGAGATGCTGTGTCCCTAATAAGTCTAGAATGATTACCATTCAATTTGATTGCCCAAATGAAGGGTCATTTAAATGGAAGATGCTGTGGATTACATCTTGTGTATGCCAAAGGAACTGCAGAGATCCAGGAGATGTATTTTCTGACCTCAAGATCCTATAAAACCTAGTATATATGGGAAAAGTTAAGTTCAGGTAATCATGTCATTATGTTAGAAAATTAGAGTGGTTTTAAAAGGGTGGCAAATCTACCTTTTTGATTTAAAAAAGGGAAGAATACCTACCTATTCTCAGATGACTCTATTTAAGGCATTAGAAATTATTAAAAAGGTTCTCTTGGGGCGTCTGGGTGGCTCAGTCGTTAAGCGTCTGCCTTCGGCTCAGGTCATGATCCCAGGGTCCTGGGATCAAGCCCCGTATCGGGCTCCCTGCTTGGTGGGGAACCTGCTTCTCCCTCTCCACTCTCCCTGCTTGTGTCCCTGCTCTTGCTAGGTCTCTGTCAAATAAATAAATAAAATCTTAAAAAAAAAAAGTTCTCTTAAAAATACATGTAAAACTTGGTGCAGCTCTTTCTGCTCACAGGTCTTGTCCCTCTGCTTTAATAAAACCGTTTTTGCACCCAAGAAGCTATATATATATATATATATATATATATATATATATATAAATAAATCTTAAAAGTGAGCTCTTACTTTAAATGTATAATTATGAAATACACAGATAGTTGCTTCCATCTACATATTCCATACATAATGGAAAAATTACACAATTTATAAGAAAGCATTTTATTCTATAAAATAATCTGGAATACTTTGTTGGAAGATGTGTAAAAAGTTTAGAACTTTTTAAAAACTTTATTTTTTAAAACTTTATCTGTACTTTGACAGTGTAGCCAGGATTCCATCAGATGATAATCATTATGTGGTGAGCAAGATTCTGGGTTTAATTCTTAAATAAGATAAGATTAAACTGCAAATATAATTTCCACTACCCTATCCTGAGTATCAGTTTATTAAGATTTCTTTTGAAAGAAGAAAACAGAACTTCTTTGGCCATTACTGACAACTGTAATCTAAAAGTTTTTATACCAAATACTGTACAAAATGAAATTTCTAAGATAATTTGGCCATTATTGACAAGTGTAATCTAAAAGTTTTTATACCAAATATTGTAAAAAACGAAATTTCTAAGATAAAGATCAAGAGCAGTATCCTTACTTTGAAAAGGAAAGAAACTTAAAAACTTAGCACTAAAGAAAGCACAGATTATTTTGGCTTGAGAATAAATTGTTCCTAAAAATCACTTCCTTAAGTGATAAATCCACCTATGGATTTAAAATATAAATTGTATTTAAAGATAAATTAATGTTAACTACAACTGGAGAGTATAATAACTGGAACATGTTCACTAGACTATTACAGCCATTTTCCTGTGGAGTTTGGAAGATGTCAAGCTAAGTAATGTTCTGTTTGCTTATATAAATGGTGACAAGCAAAACCAATAACAACAAGCAATACTGTTTAAAAATATGGACATTTATTATTATGAAATCAACTGGTTTAATAAAAAATCATTATATTTAAAGATAACTTAATACATATAAATGTTAAAGTGTAAATTTTCATTCTTTTGAGTGCAAACATGTGGTTACCCAAAGAAGAAACAAAACCTCCTTCATAGTTGTAATAAAACCTATCCCAGAAAAGTTAGTGGGTATTACATAGAAGTATTTATATTGTGTTCTACTGCTCCTTGTACTTGCTTTTAAAAAATCAGGAGAATTTAAACAGAATATGAAAAAATAAATTATAAATAAATATAAAAATATACCTTATAAGGTTTTTATTGAAGACATGATTATCATTGTATTAATGCCTAAATATGAGACTGTAAGTAAAAGTATTGAACTATTTTCCTGAAGACAAATGTTTGAAGTTAAGGTAGTAGGACTTCACTAATTTCACAGACTGGTATCACCCACAAATTGTGATGAAATGAAAATCACTTTTTTTTTTTTAAGACAAAAATGCTTTCTAATAGGAAAAGTGCAAACTGGGTTTTCTGAATCACAAAAATTCTGAAACAGAAAGAAAAGGTGACAAATTCCAGTGTAAAATTAAGAAAAGTAAAAGTTGTATCTTGGGGTTTCTTTTTTACACAGCTATGCTTAGTCTAGGAAAATCTTCCACAGGCATGCTTTTCGTGGCATCCAGTTGGTTGTATTCCTCTATGAGCCCTGATAAAGATGACACAGCTTCCATGAAACCGCTTTCTTCCATCCCTTCAATTTGTAGATAGTGATGAAGATGAGCCTATAAATAAAAAACTGGATAATGTTGACCATTTTCAGAAAATTTAATACATGAATAACTATCCTAAAACATAAATAATTCTTTATTAAAGTGATACTTCACTCAGCTTTACAAGAGAAAGGAGAACTCCAATCCCAATAAACTCACGAGATTTCTCCTTTAGATAGTCCGAGTAAACCTCTCCTCTTCAGTTATAATCAGTACAGTGAATAGAGCAGTCAGGATTGCCCTTGATTTGTGATAGTGTAATTTGTGAGAAGACATCTTAAATAGCCAAAATAAACACATACAGTTAAGAAGGTGTACTGATAATTACCTTTTTCTTGTAGAGCCTCATGAATCTCTCTTTCAGTTCCATGAAGGTAGGCTTCACGCATGTGTTATTTGCTAGAGCTAATAATGAATGGGAATGGCCCACAGGAGGGACTGAACACAGGCTGGTTTTCCATCCTTCTTGATTCCAGGAGACAAACTGTAGAGAAGGTTTTAATCTGAAATACAAAAACCCAAAGGTGAGAATGAAGGTACTGAAAGTATCTGCCATATATGGCAGCAGACATTACTGATGGTACCATTCTAATTGCTCAGTATGTAACGTGAGTTACCTACTTTTTACTATTAGTAGTATCATGGTACAGTCTGACAGTGAGCTAAGGGACATTTAGTTAGGAGGGCATTAAATCTGGGGATGAAAAAGAATTGAAAATATTACAATTTAAAAAAAATTACAATTTTCCTTACTTTGTAATTCAATAGAGTAGTTTTCCTAAAAACAGACTGTCAAAAAATAGTAAAACACAAACTTAGAAGCAGTGTAGTGGTAGTAATAAAACAACAGTAGTTAAATTTTCCGAACACTTTCAGAAAATAAAATATTTCCTATATCATTCACTATTCAAAAATAACAATTTTGTACCATTATTATTCTTATTTTACATTTGAGAAAAATAAGGCTACGTAGTTTGCTCAAGGTCACCCTTTAGTTAAGTGGCAATGCTAGAATTCGAAGAGAGGTCATCTGAACTACTATGCTAGTAGTATACATAAATTACCATGAAAATATAAAATCAAACCTTTCAATATTTCTGCGAAGATCTGAAACCTGTACATTTCCTCTAACCATAAGGGCACAGGCAAGGTAGAGACTATGTTTGGGGTCAGCCCGAATTAGCTGGTGATCTTTACTAAAGGCATCTGAAAACATCTGATCCAACCTAGAACAATGAAAGAATCACTGTTTATACAAAATATTATTTCTTCTATGTAGAACTACAAAGTACAAAGACAGTCACCTACAGGTAAATAAACACACACAAACACCTTCTACATTTCAGCTATCATTTTCTCAAAACAATCTTGATGAGAAATATGAGAAGAGAGGAGGACATCTTTTATCCTTTATTTAGAAAGGAAGAAAAAGGTGCCAACATATGTATATCTAATAATACACAGGATCCTGTCTTTAATATAGCCCCAGCCTGGTTCTTAAATCCCACTTAACTCAATACAAATATAATTAGGTTCCCTAGATAACTCTAGATTCTGTGTGCTGAATCTATATCATGTCTGGGAAGAGCTGCAGAAATCAGTGTTACCTACTCATTCAACAGATACTTACTAAATGCCTTCTATGTGCAGGCACTATTCTAAGTGCAAGAGACCCAGTACTGAACAACAAAAATTTCTGCTTTACTGGAGTTTACATTCGATCTTGGTTATGTGACAGCAAGAAGAACAGAAGACTCCTTTAGGGAATGGTGAGCTGTGGGGTGTTTGTAAATCCTCTGCTACTGTGTTCAAAATTTGGTGTATATGTGCTTTTGGGCATTTTTATGAAGTTAAGGAAACCCAGAAAAGGATAAGAACCACTAAACAAGTGGGCAAATTCATTCTTGATTTATCCTCTGCTGCAAAATATAAAAACTAGTAAGGAGCTATTTGTAATTTTGGGATACTTATCTTTATTCACATTAGAAATACGGAATTTCAAGAAACATATACACACTTCTCATATGTGCTTATTATTTTCATGTGATAAAAATGGGATGAGGTACAGGACTGACATTTATTAATAAAAGGTACAACAAAAACCATTCTCACTACTAATAAGAAATTAAAGAGTTTTAAAACTGACTTTTAATAGTACAATTTTAAAACAATTTATTATTTTACTCAAGGATAGATAAACGTGTTCATGTGCTGATATGACCGCCTCTGAAATATCTATAGTACAGCAGAAAAAAAGGGAAAAAAGAACACAAAGATAGAAAGAACATTGTGACAAGTTCCCTAAGAGTATAAAATCTTTAAAGTCCCTTATACATTTTCACAAACACATTTTTAAAAATAAACCTTTGTAACAAATTATGATTATATGAATACAAAATGCTGCAACAGTATAATTTTTATCAAAATATGCTAAAAGCGGGATTAAAAGAAGTTTAATTGGCTTTGAAACATTCAGGTTGAAGGACCAAGTCAAACATTTTTTTCTTTATGCTGAATTTAATTAGAAATTCCCTGTCTTTATTTTTTAAGAATTAACTTTAAATGTAAAAATGTTTGGACTATCACTATTGTACAATAAATAGTTTAGCACCAATTTACATTCTATGTGTCCACATATTATTTAAATACACTAATTTTTAATATGCGGGGCTGATAATAACAGTGAACATTTAGTGAATGATTACCATGTTCCACATACAGTGCAAGTTGCTTAACTTAAGGTCATCACCATTCCATGCAGAAAGAGTCCTATTAGTTGGCATAACTGTTTATTTGTTAACAGCTTAAATAAAAGTTAATAGCACTGTGACATTTACAGTGCAGAACTGTTATTTTGCCAAAATTTAAACTGTAAAAAAGATCTTTAATCTGGTTTTTATCATTTACATACTTTCCTCTTACAGAGTTTGACAGGACCTTTTCCCTCAGTCAACTGTGGATGCCAGTGGGACCTTTTCAAGCTTATCATCACTGTATATGCTCAGAATATTTTTCAATTACATTTTTATTAAGTAGACTAAGTTTTACGCTTATAAATGACACACAGTTACAAAACAAGGTGTTCTGGAAATTATATATAGCAGCTACCATCAACAGTAACACTGGAAAGCCTTCTATGGTGCTGGACTGTGATAAGAACTTTAAAGATACTCTTATTTAATATACCCAACAAAGGTATGAGGTAGGTCCACCTGCCCAAGGTCCTATAGCTATTGACAGAATTAGCATTCAGACTTAAGTATGTCAGACTTCAAAGCCCTGAAATCTTTTTCAATAAAAACCAAATCTTTATGAATTTCATTAGCTTAAAAATTTAGATTTAATGTCAAATGGTTTCATATTCACTTTTTAAACAATGACTTGTAAAATAAAGGATTCAAATAATGAAAATGACACAAAGAAAATGACACAAAAAAATACCCAGAGTTACTACAAACTTAAAAAAATTTTTTTAAAAAAGTAATTCAAATTATCAAGTCATTAGAATAGTTACTACATCTTACCTTCGGGTAGGAATGTTAACATCTGCCAGTGTATATAGAGGTGTTAGGCTTGACACAAGATAATGCAGTTGAGGAAAAGGAACTAAATTCATGCTGATTTCATTAAGGTCCATATTAAGGGACCCTTCAAACCTTGCAGAGCTAAAAAATTAACAAAGCAAGAGAAAAAAATTTAATGTTAAAATTTTATACTTTGAATGTAGCTTTATTCAGCAGGCATTCTTAAATCCTTTTGTACACTGTTCTTCAGTAGAGAATATATGCTCCTTTTTTCTGTATTAGTGAAATTTAGTATCATGAATATCATGTATAAAGGTAATTAAAATGTAACACACAACATCTATAGCAATTCTTATTTGTGGATTATATGATGTGTAACCAACACACTATTATGTTGCCCATTACACATATAAAAATATCTTAAAGCAGACTGAGTTAAACACATACAGGTCAATAATTAATAAGTCTATAAACGTCACTAAATTCTTCAAGGGTCTGCCTAATGTGCTCTATAATTTGGAATATAATAATGCCAAAGCAATCTTCTAGATCAAAGTCAAGGGTATATTTTGGACCAACTAACAATAAGGAGGTAAACATTAGCTGCTTTAAAAAATGAGGACAAACTACAGCAAAGAAAATATGCTTACTGTTATCTAACCAAGTTCTCAAGTGTTTATCTGTGACAAACTTTTTTCATTTAACACCTATTAATATTCTCTGGAATGCACCTGGGAAAATGCTGCTTTGGAGTAATAGAAATTAAAGTTCTGGTCTATCACTCCAAGATCTGAAAACACTAGACAGAATAAAATAAAAGAAGCTCCTGTGACTTAGAAAAACTGAAAAATGCTACTACAAAAATGCAACTGCAAGTATCATCAGAGGCCAAGTGAAGTTTTCAAACTGTCCTAAGTTTTGCAATCAATAGGATTACCTTGTTAGGTTCAGCAGCAAATTGGCCACAATGTTGTTCATTGCATCAAAGGGCCTCTGGTGCCACTTTTTGACAGCCCCAGCACTTGAAGTAACCAGACTCTTTGGCTTTATAGTTGTGCCCAACTTTCCAGAATTCACCATGAGGTCAATTTTGCTAATGATGTCAAATAAAGACTTTTAAAGGAAAAATATTGGGAGAGAAGCTATTAACAAGAGCAGACACAGATGACATTATACCAGGAAGGAAAGAAGAGAAAGAAAAACAATTTGAACTTATTTCTCCTCTTAGATGGGAAGGCTGAAAAGTGAAGAGAATGTTTCCTATGCACATATAAGCATAACACAAGACTGAATGTTTAAATATTCATAAATTACAATGTCATTTCTTACTTGGTTGTCAATGGGCAACACACAGTCTGCATGCTCATTAAGTTCCTTCATTGCCAAGATGCTATTGTAAGGTGAGGTTATGACATCATCCTCACCAGAAGGATAAACTGATGTCACGAATCTGTATACTTCTGGGAATTCATCCTCAAGCAAATTTAAAAGAAATGTGCCAAGTCCAGATCCTGTTCCTGAGGATTAAAATTGCAAAAACAAAAACAAAAAAACCCTGCATAAATGATTCAAAATAAAATTGTGAGGAACTTGGAATTTTATGGCTTTTTTGGGTAGGAACATACATTAAAAACCAGAGCATTATATAGAAGACAGTTCTGATTCCATTAAAAATTAAACATATAAACACATACATATATAAAACCTATAAACAAAATGAAAAAGGCAAACTAAGAAAAAAATCTCCAACATATATGATGGACTAAATTTCTTTAATAAAGAGGTCTCACAAATCAACAACCAAAAAAACACGAGTAATACAACAGAAAAATGGGTAAAGTATGTAAATATGTAATTCATAATAAATCAAATGGTGAATAGATGTGAGGATGCTCAATTCTTCTTCTAATCAAAGAAATCCAAATTAAAACAATCTAATTTTGAATGTATTAATGTTTTATAATACTCAGTGTTAGTGACAGTGTGGGGAAATAAACCTGTATACATTGTTTCTAATAATATGGATTGGTGAAATAATGTAGGAGAGTATTTAATAATATCAATCAAAATTTAAAATGTACATATTCTTTGGTCCCATTTTCCTTCTGGGAATACTATGTATATCTATAGAGGCATAAATGAGCAGAAATGTTATGTACCAGATGTTCAAGTGGGGATTGTTTGCTATAACTAAATATCATAAACAACTTAACATCCACTAATGGAAAATGGACTTCAAAAATTTTTATATATTAACACAACTGAATTCTAGGAGACAGAGAAGATACTGAAAGACATTTGGGAAAGACATAAAGTGAAAAAATGTTGGAATAGTATGTACTGCATGATCTTATGTTAAAATAAACATACACACTTTTAAAGGCACAGAAAATATTTGGAAGGATATAGACATAGGCAAACTTGATTACCCTGTGAGAGAGACTAGGATTTAGATGTGGGAAAAGAGACCATTTTTAACCTTCACTATTATTTATTTTTGCCAGTAAATTATGAATAAAGTATAATCTTCTGAGATTTTGAGTAATAGAGGGATTAAAAAAGGCACCATAATGAACTATAAATCAAATTGGTTTTTTGAAAACTTATCCAAACTTGCAGGTTAATTATACTAGTACAAAGAAAATTTATTTCTTAATTTAATGATTATGATGGTCCTCCAAAGGCATGGTTATGTAACAATTATAACTTTAATTTTAAAATGTTATCACATTGAATAATATGTATAAAAATCAATTTATATAACTTGGTGAATATAAAATCTTAATCTGAGCTTGGAGAAAAATAGCATCGCAAATTTTTCTTTTAAAACTCACTAATCCTATTGGAAATCAGCAAAATACGGTATGTTTCTAGTTCATAACACAGAGGAGCAAAATACTTCATTTGCAAGGTACAGGCTTCCCTGGGGAATGAAAGCAATACAGATCATTTATTCTAGGTCAAGGTAATTACTATGAAAGTAATGATTTAAAGGAGCTGACTAAAAGGATTTCTTTTATCTCTATCTCTTATTGGACACAAGAAAGGTTGGAAGGCAGTTAAAGAGTACTGATGTTTCTTAGCAAGGATACCTATGAACAAACCAGAAATGCTTAGCTTCTAGGTGAGATACGAGACTACACAAGCAAACTCTTAGGAGTCAGTATTCCCAGAAAGCTCTCATGTACTGAAATGTAGTTGGAAATTTTAAAAAAGAAACTAAAAGTAGAAGAAGAAAAAACTTCAGATTTAGTTGTACTGACTCTTAAAAGGGCTTCAATTTATAAGCAATGGTAATGGCAACAAAATTTGACAAAAATTTAAAGTAAGAAGCAGTTATGTATATACTCAAACACATACACTGTTAAAAGTTGTACCTTTATTAGGCATAGGTCTGAAAACAGACTACTGTTTGCAAAATGAATTCCCACGTACACTGTCACATTATTACAGGGAAATGAGTGAATAACTTTACCTCCTCCCATGGAATGTATTATAAAAAAACACTGCAAACAATCACAGTGCTCTGCCGACTTTCTGAGTTTCTCTAAAATCTGTTCTTGATAAAGACTGCCAAAAACTTTGTACCCCACAGCCCTGAAAAAAAGAATATAAATCACAAAACACCCTGGCATTTATTATTTCAAGATTTTATTATTTCTGATCTAAATGAAAAGACTACAGAAAAACTTGAAAAAGCATTTTTACTATATTAATTCTTCTTGTTTCATATGTATAAATCGTATTGTGATATTTCAGAGATACTAGATAGAAAATGTAACATATAAAGATGTATAATCCTCAAATATCCTGATAAAATAGCTCATTATCAATGGATATTAAGCTATGGTTTTCTAAATTCATCATCTCTTTTTTTTAAGTATAAGACTTTAGTTACATAGTTTTTTCTCATCTCCATTTAAAATGAACTCTCATCACAGTAAGTTTTACATATTAAAAGGCAGAATGTGGTTAACTACAAAGACATTAAAAATAAAAAATTCTGAACTAACATATTGGTTTAATATAGGAGAAAACATTGATCACATCATGTTATCATTAGTTGAAATGATACACAATAGAAAACTGATACTCATAAGGCTCTGTAAGTCTTTTTGATTAATCAGATTTTTTTTTTTTTTTTTAAGATTTTATTTATTTATTTGAGACAGAGAGAATGAGAGACAGAGAGCATGAGAGGGAGGAGGGTCAGAGGGAGAAGCAGACCCCCTGCTGAGCAGGGAGCCCGATGCGGGACTCGATCCCAGGACTCCAGGATCATGACCTGAGCCGAAGGCAGTCGCTTAACCAACTGAGCCACCCAGGCGCCCGATTAATCAGATTTTTAAGGAGCACTTTGATGCATTAAAAATGATGAAAAAAATGAATGAATGACTTCCACGGTTGTGTAACTCAAAAAATTACAGAAAAAGTTACACAATTAGTGAAAAGCCAGTTAAGTGGGCAGGTGAATTCATTTAGTGGCTGGTTCCCCCCAGATGAATGTCTAAGAATGCAAAATGTAAATTCATACTTTAAAGGTTTATTTATTAGAGTCATCTCTACCCGCAACATGGGGCTTGAACTCATGACCCTAAGATCAAGAGTTGCACGCTCTTCCAAATGAGCCAGCCAGAGACCCAGTAAGTTCATGCTTTAGTAAAATGATATTACTACACATTAGGAACCTGAGAGACAGATTGCAAATAGATAAAATAGTAAATATTAGACTTGCAAATAATAAGCTACTTAATTTTTAAAAAACAGCAAAAACAGTCTCAATGTAAATTTTCAAATGATCATTGTTAAAGCTTTTTACCCCATTAAGGAGAACAGTTATATAATTTAAGAGCTAAACACAGCCTTAGGCTGAGCTTAAATGCTGGGATACTGGTCTGGCTTGCACCTCTTACCAGTCCAATCAAGTCTGACCAGCTGGAGAACTTGGTAGAGTCAAATAATATAGGTAAGAGACAGTTTATAAAAATAGTTAAAACTTTTGTTACTAGTATTATTTAAGAATCAATTTACAAGGAATTTAGTAAATCCATTTTTCATGATTTTTTCTTAAAAAAAGGTGACAAAGAACTATGATACAGGTGGCTTTTCAGCATTGAGAAATCCCATCATTTATGCAGGAAAAGATGATGGGCTGAAAAGCCTAGAGCCAGGTCTGGCAGGTTAGATCTTGCTTTCATGTCAGCAGGACCTATTAGAATGAAGGAAAGATCATTCATTTTTTTCAGATGACATTCAATTTTTACATACAGCATATTCTCACCAATTATTGCCTGAGCCAGAAATATCAGTGATGAGCTGCTTGCTATCAAACACATCTCTCAATGGTCCCTGCAGAAGTTCATTTACTACCCCTTCCTCCATGTCAATCAAGACAGCCTGAGAAAGAAAGAAAATTGAATTAGCATATTTTTCTTTAAAGCTAGTAACTCTGTAAATAAATTTATGAACTAAAAGTAGCATTGTCCTTTTTATAGTTTAAGCTTAATCAAATCTTTATGTAGAATCTGTTATAAGAATGAAAAAGTCATTTCACTCTGCTCAGGAGGTGGAATAAAATTAAAAGGTGGGTTCTAAACTCTTATCCTACTCCGAAATACCATGTGGGCGTGGAGGGAGGAACTGAATAATCCCCTCAACTGATTTTCTAACAATTCTTTTATCATGTGCCTATGTGATTGTAAATGTTCTGAGAACAAGGACTCAGAAATTTAAAAGGTGCCCTAGCCAGAAAAAAATTCTCAATAAATGTAGGGTATGTTAATACACTTGCTTACCAGGAACAACCATGCTGCTCTTCATGAATTGCAGCCCAAAACTGTCCAGTTCAAATCAGTAAACTTACTATCAGGTGCAAACCAAGGCCCTGGATAGAAGTCAAAGATGACAATGGGTCTCTACACCCAAGAAAATCTAATTCATTACCGCAAACATTATTGACATGGGAGATAACCTTTATTACCAAGAAGAAAATGAGAATATAAAACATAAAATTAAGTATGGAAAGAAAAATAGAAAAGATTGAAGGGAAACACAGCAAAATGTAGGCAAGGATAGCTTGGCAGTAGGATTATAAAACCCCTACCCTCACTGTTTTGTACTTCCCATGTTTTCTACACTGAGGAAGGTAAGTGAAAAGGTAAAATAAATAGTTAAAAAAGCTGAAAAAAATTCTGAAATAACAGAGTACCCTACAAAGCTATTAACTCTTTGATTCAGGGTCACAGAGAAAGTGCTTGGTTTGCAGGCTTTTTTAGTTCTTGTGACCCTGTGACTTGAAGCACTTACAGTATTCTAAGTGCTTTGTATGCATTACCCCATTTGATCCTCACAACCTGGTGCATAGGTACTATAATTACCCCCGCTTTACACGTGAGAAAACTGAGGCCTAGGAAAGCTAAATCACTTAGCTGTGATCACCCAGCTAGTACGTGATGGAGCGGAGATTCAAACCTGGTTAGTCTGGCTGCAGAATCTTCAGTCTTAACCACCAAACTCTATGCTCTTCTTGTTTTTTGTTTGTTTGTTTGTGTAGTTAACTATGCTACTATAAGCAAGCAATTGAAGTAGTCTTACCCAGTATATTAGAAATATTCTATTTCTAACTGTACAATAGTATATCACAGTAGTATATTAGAAAGACTATAAAATTATGTATTACAAATGTGCTCTCTTATATACAGCGAGCAATATACATACACTTTATGTATACTGGACTATATAGGGTTATTTACTGGCAACTTAGGGTTTTTCTAGGATATTTTATGATAATATGCAAGTGTTACCTAGATGTTGACTTTAACATCTAATCAACCGTAAGAGAGACTTCACTGTGTGGGCAAATTGTAGTATATTACAAGTTGTGTAAGATTACAAAAAGAAAAAAAAAAATAGCTTATAATGGCTTTGTTTCAAAACAGACTTATTTAAGAGAATTTGTGGAAGATTACCCTCAGCTACCTTGCAGTCTGGCAAAGGAAGGAACAGGCAGAATACAAACTGACATTCAAGCACCTCTTGGAGTCAGTTTTGAGAGAATCATCCCTGTCATCGTCACTGAGCATTAAAAACGCTGACATGGTATAGAATTTCAATTCTAGTCACATCAAGCCTTTGATTTGTTTTTCATTTGGAAATTAACTGAGGAGGAATTATTCTGGGTTCCTCATGCAGCCAACCAAGGTCTGGAGTGACAACTGTTCTAGGATTTGATGTTTATTGTTTTCTGCCAGAGCAACCTGGTGATAGCTTTCTGGTCTTTGAGCTCTCCCTTAATTGTAATATAGGATTTACAAAACTCTGAGTATTTGCCCATTAACCTAGAATACTGGACACAGTGGAAGGGCCTAACCACCAAGTTATCTTGTGAAGCCTAGACTCTTCAGTGATCACAACCACATAATACCAAGACTCTTAAGGAGAAATGGAAGAGTACCTTCCTAGGACAAGTCAAAGGTGACAGACACACATTGATTTATTCTTTCCCAAAGGTATTTCCTCCATCTCCTACCTTGCTCACTGATAGGGTCCTGGGAAAGAGCTCAAATTGGGAGTGCTCTGGGAAATGTCAATGTTACTTTTTCTGTAAGATTTGGATTGGGATGTTAGCGCTCTCCATAGCATGCAGGATACCAACTGTTAATCATCCGAACAGCCTACAAGCACATGGTCTCTGCCATAAATTTTGTTTTCCAAGGACATCAGAGATTACAGATACAAGGAGACAGTTCCGAGATACCACAAAATGATTGCTTTTCACTCTTCCAGGCACAATTCCAGGTCTGATCCTTATTGTCTCAATTCCTTCCATACAAACTGCTTTTCTGTTAAATTAATTGATCAACAACTGGAAAAAGCAGTTTGTTGTAGAGAAACAATCGTGGAAGTGTTGTTGGAATGAGGTTATGACTAAATATGGGCTACTGACTCAAAGCATTTTTGTTCAAGAGGTCTTACATGGTTATAGTATTCACTATAACGTGGCTGGATCCGTGCTTTGTACTGGGAATAGTAACTGATGCAAAGAAATGTTCCATTATCTTCAAATGAAAAATTAACCTGCATTAGTACGTGTTTGAGGCTTAGAATTAAGAAAGCTCCTTTTGTTATCATTTACCCAGATGTGTATTTCCCCTGAAACATTTATAAAAAAATGCTAAAGATACAGTGTTTTTACTTTAAGCACAAAATTTTCCCCCTAAAGTTCCAGGAAGATATAAAATGTCTGCCTAATTATATTTACATTAAAATGTGGCTTAGTAAATACTTTTTTTAAATTTTAGAAGTTAAAAGTTTATTCTGTTACAGAAGTATAGTTATTTTTAAAACACACACAATATAAGAATCCAAGTATACAGATCTTACTCGTGCTTTCAAAGAACAAATTTTCCCCTTGGAAATACTGCCACCATCACCAACCACTCTGAAAGATAAAGAATGAGAAAAGGTCAAAAGATCTTCCAAGGCTAATGCTGCTGTTAGGTAATAAAGTTAATTCCCACTTATATAATAAAGCTACTTACAGGCCTGGTGAGGTAGACACAAAAGGCAACGTAGAAGGTGCCATTCCCATTCTTCTCCCTTGTCTACCCTCCCCTTAGGCTGAAAAGTGAGGTACTTTTTTCCCTGGCTTTCTTTATAGTTAGGGCTGGCCATGTAATCCAGTTCTTACTAATGAGATGAAAAGCTTCTGGGAAGCTTTTCTGATAAGGACGACCAGATGCAGTTGGTGCCAACTCTTCCCTTTTCCTACCTTAAACATGAATAAAGATATGATACATGGAGTGGAGGCTGCCACTTTATAGTTATAAAAAAATAAACATGAGGACAAGTAGCCAACACAATAGGAATAATGAAACGAAAGTACCTTGGTCTTTTAAGGCATTTCTCCAAGCCTAAATCACCCGATTTCCAGATTTCTTTATATGGGATAACTGGATACTTTGTGTAAGCCACCATTAATGAGGTTTCCTATTGTAGCCAAACATACATCAACTGATATATCAGTTATATATCATTGAGTATCTACGGTTGTTCCTAGAATTTCATGTTGAACTAAAGTAACTACATCTATGACCAACACAGGGTATGAGTCAATACAATTTACAAGAAGACAATATATAAAAGGAAGTTGAATTGAGCACAGATGATGCTATAGATTGGGTCGGTAAACTATGGTCCTTGGGCTAACTCTGACCAGCTGCTTATTTTCCTAAATAAAGTTTTATTCAAACATAGCCATGCCCACTTGATATGCACTAGTAAGCTATACCTGCATTCCTGTTAGAACAGCAGAGTCAAACAGATGTGACACAGACCTTATGGTCTGCAAAACCTAAAATATTTACCATCTGGTCCTTTGCAGGAAAGGTTTGTTAACCGCTAGTATAGGTAAATTCCTAGTATGCTATTAAAAAGGTATGGTCATTTCCTCAAATAGATATACAAGTATACACAAAAATGTGGTCTTGTTTTTCAAAGTTTTTTTGTACTAACATGGAACAGATGCTGGCAGGTGTTGCTAGTACATAGAAGAGTAAAATGCCAAGACTCATCTCCCCTTTTTGGATAAACTTGGGATTGGGGAAATAAGAATGCCCTCACGTTAAATTATTAAACAGAGTACAGGAGAGTACAGTTATGTAGTCGCCTTATTAAGAAAGACTAGCTCCCCAGCTGAGTCTCGACTAAGTAATACTTAATGAAAGGATTGGCCATCAAGAGTAGAGGGGATGAGGGCGCCTGGGTGGCTCAGTCGTTAAGCGTCTGCCTTCGGCTCAGGTCATGATCCCAGGGTCCTGGGATTGAGTCCCGCATCGGGCTCCCTGCTCGGCAGGAAGCCTGCTTCTCGCTCTCCCACTCCCCCTGCTTGTGTTCCTGCTCTCGCTATCTCTCTCTCTGTCAAATAAATAAATAAAATCTTTAAAAAAAAAAAGAGTAGAGGGGATGAGAGTGGGAATTTACTTAGAAGGGAAGCACATAAAAGGAAGTATTACAAAAGCAAATTTGAGTCTCTTAACAGTATTTAGGGCAGAGGATGCTCTAGTTCACAAACAAGAGGGAATCCTAGATAGCAGATATCTCCATATAATAAAGATAAATGACACCAATCATTAAGGTAAAACACCTAACTCCCCTTGGTCTGATTCCATGATCACCAAGCAACCTTCTATTATTTAGCTTTTCAGGTAGATTTCCTACAGAAGAGAAAGTGCTTTTGAAGGGAAAGGAAGATCTGGTGCTCTTGAGTTATGGTTCCTACTATCAATTACTACATTGATTTTCTGCTTTTTAATCTCCCATTCTCTTTGAGTTTGGTTTATCTGCCTGTACTGGAAAGCAATGGACTCATTCTCAAGATGTTAACAAGTTTTCTGAGTTTGCAAGTCTGAGGGTCAGACTCTGGGATTCACCAAGGAAGTGGAGACTAATTAGCCTTCCCTAGGAGATAACTCACCTCAAATACCCAACCAACTAATTCAAACTAGAACTAGAATTTTTACTGAATTAGATAAAGGTGGATATTCATGATATATTATTTAGTTCAAGTCCACCACAGTTTAGTTTTATTAATTATTTTTAAAATACACAAACTTTATGATTAAACATTAAAAGCTCATGGACATACCTTGAATGTCAAAATTACGTTCAGATAAAAGATACATATGCTCTTTATTATATAAACAAAAGTAATTTGACAACTGTTGTTCTCCTTTTTAGCACATTCTATTCACAGAACAAATATTCCTGACTACAAATAGTGTCACAGAAGTGTAAAAAATATATTTTTCTTTCAAAAGTTAGTCATTCTTGAATGCATTAACAATATACCCTGAGGGAAACTTTCAGTAGTCCTTCAGTAAAACTTCATTTCAAGGTCATGTTAAAAGAAGGCACATGAGGGGCGCCTGGGTAGCTCAGTCGGTTAGGCCGCTGCCTTCGGCTCAGGTCATGATCCCAGGGTCCTGGGATCGAGCCCCTCATCGGGCTCCCTGCTCAATGGGAAGCCTGCTTCTCCCTCTCCCACTCCCCCTGCTTGTGTTCCCTCTCTCCTGTCTCTCTGTCAGATAAATAAATAAAAATCTTTTTCAAAAAAAAAAAAAAAAGAAGGCACATTGGGGGCGCCTGGGTGGCTCAGTTGGTTCAGTGTCTGTCTTCCGCTCAAGTCATGATCCTGGGGTCCTGCAATGAAACCCCATGTTGGGCTCCCTGCTCATCGGGGAGTCTGTTCTACACTCCCTTTGCTCCCACTCGTGCTAGCGCCCGCTCTCTCTCAAATAAATAAAATCTTTAAAAATAAATAAAAATAGGAGAAGGCACACTAAAGGTTCTTTTTGTTCCTTCATATGGCCTTAAAAGGAAACCTGCTGTCCTGCTCTGCAGAATAATATGAGAAATATTAATGATATGGGAATAATGAGAAAAAAATATGCTTTCAATAATTAGAAAAACAAAAAAGCCAGACTTTTTTATAGTTATCAACTGTTTTATTGTCCTTTGAAGAGGTCTCACCCAATCTGATGACATGAAAAGAATCATTATGCTACGTGATAGACTTCAATCCCATCTTACCTGGTATCCACATTTCTAAAGAAGCTGCTTATTGCCTCGTCATAAATTCCTTTCTAAAAAGAAAAAAGTAT